AGATAAATTCTAATTTTCAACCCAAACCCACCCCAAAGAAAGGTAATAAAATTCATTTGAATGTCATAGGAAACCCTACAACCAACGATAATATTATCAATTATGAACTTAATTCAAGCATCAATATTATGCATACTTCCCATAACCTTGCCGAAAGATATTGTAGGATATAAAACTTTGAAAAATATATTTTAATATAGAAATATTTGTTAGTTGTTACATGTGAAAGAAGTAAACCTAGACTAAAATGAGGCTCATATACCAGTTGTGGTCTCTCCACTCCTATATGTATTTAGTGATATTACACTTGAAGAACTTCTTCATGATTAACCCCCTCCTATAACCATTTAACATTCTATTGACTCAATTCCAAGTTCACAACTTCCCAACATTTCTCATTATAGAATGAATCCCATTGAACACATTAAAATCAAGAAACAGTTTGGGGAGTTACTTAGGAAAGGTTTTGTATAAGAAAGTCTTTGTCCTTATGCGATTCTAATTCTTCAAACTCCTAAGAAAGATGAAATATAGAGATTGTGTGTTGATAGTTGGGTTATAAACAAAGTAATTATCAAGTATAAACTTCTAATTCCTTAACTAAATATCAAACTATATATGATCTCAAGGACTATTTCTTTCTCTAAGATTGATTTGAATATTACATATCACAAAATTTGATTCATTAGACAAATAAATGAAAATACAACATTTAAAACACTTAACAGGCTTTTGGAATGTTTGTTCATTCCTTTTCAACTTTCAAAACCCCTAGCATATTTGTTTGGATGATGAATACTATCATTAAAGATTTTAGTTCTCTACTTTGATGAATAATATCAGTTTTCAAAACCCCTAGCATCTTTTTTAGTTCATCTTTCTTAGGAGTTTCACTGATATTGGGAGTTTTCTTGGCTTAGCTATTTTATATAAACAAATCATTAAAGATTTTAGTGACATTGTACCTCCAATCATTGACTTACTAATTATATAAATTCTATTAGAATTGAAAATCACAAAAATCCTTATATCAAATTAAGGTACTTATGATGACTTATATTCAATTCCATCAGCATCATGATTTCTTTAAAGCTTTAGAGGTGACTTATGATGTATATCGAATTGGGATGGGAGGAATATTAAGTAAGGAAAATAATCCTATAACCTTTTTTTAGTGAAAAATTAAATTAAACAAAATATATTTATTTAACATATGATAAAGAATTTTATACTATCATTTAATTTTGAGACACTACCTTTTACAGAAAGAATTTATTCTCAATTCAAATCATCATTCCCTTAAGTTTATTAATACTCAACGAAAGCTAAGTCATATGTTTGCTTAATGGGTCAAATTTGTCGAAGAATATTCCTTCATCCTAAAACATAAACCTATAGTTGAAAATAAACATGATAATGCTTTGTCAATGGTAACATTAAGAATATTTTCTTTGGAATTTAAAATCCAAGGATTTAAATGAATTAGAGATAAGTATACAGTGTAGCCTGACTTTCATCTTATTTTTATTGAGCACTTATGAAAACCTTTAACCTTACAATGAATAATTATAATATTTAATAGATATCTACATTATAAAAAATAACTTTACATCCCTAGATCCTCACATAGCAAATTCTTAGTTTCTAAACTACAATTCAGAGGAATTATTGGTCATTTGGGGAAAGATAAAATAATATGTTTAATGGAAAGTCTATATTTTTTGCCATCACTTAAATGGGATGTTAAAAACTTAGTGGTCCAATATCTAACCTATAAAAAGTCGAAAGCCACTAAACAAAAGACTTGTCAATTAATTGCTTTCTCCATCCTTTATAGGCCTTGCGAAGACCTTTTGATGGATTTTGTTCTAGGATTTCTCATAATGCTTAAGGATATTTTAACATTTTTTGTAGAAGTTGATAGATATCATAGATGATCCATTTCCTACCATTCTCTGAAACTAATAATGCTTCTCATATTACTCGACTATTCTTTTAGAAAAATGTGAGTCAATATGGTCTTCCTTCAATTATTCTCTCATATCATAATTTTAGGTTTGTTTCATATTTCTGGAAGACTTTATAAAGATTATTTGACACCAAATTAAACTATTCATCTATTTTTCATCCTCAAATTGATGGCTATAGTTATAAATCTAACATTAGAAAACCTACTAACATCTCTTATAGGTAAAACCGTTGGAAATTAGGACTTATATCTACCTTCATTTGAATTTAGAGATATTAGTATTGTCTCTAGAACAAGCCAAACTTCACTTTTTGAAATAATTTATAGTCAAAACTCTTGGGCAACAAATTAATATAACCAATTTTCCATCTTATACAATTTCTAATTCTACATTTATATTTTCTAAGGACTTTCAAAGCCTACATGATACAATAAGGCATCAAATTACTTCTACTAATGATAAATACACTTCTAGGATAAATCACACTTGATTAAAATTTTTTTAATAATGTGATTATATTTTTATTTGCATCCATGTATGTTTGACTAAACATCTAAGTTTAAGAAATTTCAAGCAAAGGCTTGTATTCCATTCCAATTTCTTAATAAAATTTAATTAATGCCTATAACCTTGATTTTCCTACTGAAATGCTAATCTATAATGTTATTAATATTAAAAATATTTTATCATAAGAGCTAGTAAGCAAACATCCACTTATTTAGTCAAACTCTTTAGCAAGAGATAGTTTCACATTAAAAAAAAATAAAAGAGAGAGTTTCGCATTTACAAAATCCCTAATTTTTGAAGAATGATTATATAATCACTAAGGAAACACCAATTGATCAGCTATTGAGCATCACTTTTTAATTTGTTAGAAGAATAAATCATCTAATGATGATAAATGGCTGACTCATACTAACTTTGAGAATTTAGCCTTATAATTGATTAAGGGCTACTTTAATTTAACAATATAGAGCAAAATTCAACTAAGCCCATGTAGTTAATATAGCACATCGTTTGGATGAAGATAATAATTACAAAAGCCCAACTATAAGAGTTAAAACCAAAGTTTAAAAAAAGATTAATGAAAAATTCCAATTATAAGAGTCCAACTTAGAGCTCATAATTTTAAATATTATTATTATTATTTTTTAATCTAGAAACTTGCATAACTAGACATGATATGGTTGTGTTGATGATGAATTAAAAGTAGGCGGTTGGAATACTTTTTATTAATGACAACCTACCCAATTTTTTCCATCCACATTTTCCCTCCAAAAGTGGTTGCCTAATAATCTTGTAATGGCTAAAATGTGAGCTGAAATACTTTGTAATTTTTAAATTTTAAAATGAAATAATTTTGTGGAGAAGTGCTCTATATTTGCTTGGTGTTTGATGGCTTCAAGTATAAACTTTTTCTTTGGTGAGATTCGGTAATTACTTTTATTTCTTTTATGTTATTTACAATTCCTAAACACCTACTCTAAACTCTTCACAACTCTTTTTCCACTTCATAAGTATCCTTTTGCTATTAGGAGAAATAATGATAATTGGGAGGAGGATGGTACGTTTATGGAGGATGAATCTCTACCGGATCAACATAATGATGGTAAGACCCCTTCTACTTCCAACTATAATAGTGATGCTTTTACTGATACTGAGGATATGCATATTAATGCTACATGTTTTGCTATGGATGATAATGATACTAGCTTTATTAAAGTGCATAGTAAAAAAGGGAGGAAGCCAAAACATACTAGCTTTATTAGTCTGTTTTTTGGCTGCTGGGGGCATCCTTTTGGTGCTGGCTAGAACTTTAAGATGGGGTGGTGGTGGTTGTATATTGTTGCGATGTTGTGTTGTCTGCATCCTCTCAGTTTTTTGTGGACTGTTTTGGGCTTTGGCAAGGGTTATATCACTCAGCTGTGTTCTTTTCATTATGTTGGTTCTCGGTTTGGTTGGATGGGCTTTACTAAGTGGGTTTTTGGTTGCCATGAAGGTAGAATTGAGTGGCTTGTGGATGTTCCAAATGAGGCTAATAATTTCATTCTGAGCTCTTTAAGTCTTAATTTCATGATTAGCTTCACTTGGCACATTTTTTATTGCATTACCTATTTTCCTATCTATTTTTATACTTTTGTGATTATTTATCCTACTTTGTGTGGTGGTGTAGCATTTCCTTTTTCAATAGCTTATCTTTGCATGTGGAGCTTCTGGTGGACCAGTCCAAGGTTCTTTTTTCTGCAGGTCTTTGTCTTTCTCAATTTTGGATCAGGAAGTTGGTGCTGAAAGTTCGTATCCATTGCTTTCCTGCTTTTTGGGTGCCCATCGTGCACAGTAGATTGTATCTAGGTTATTTTGTATTTTGTCGTAGTAGGGACCTTGAGCTTTTAGGATTTTTTGTTGTTTTGATTGTAGCTCATTTGAGCAGTAGCAAAGCTCGAGGTCCCTTTAAGGACCTTGTAATTTTGATTTTAATCAACGCGTAGGCCCCTCCGTGGGTTTCCCCTAAAAAAAATATATCCTTTATGACCAACAATCTATCAAATTAAACTATTAAATTTTTTTAAACACCTACATAGGCCAAACTAAGGGACACTTGGATCAAATCTTACTCGGTATACTTTAAGATCCTCTTAAACTCCTTTAAGCTCTACCATCATCTCTAAATTATAAGTTCATGTCTAAGCTAATCTTCAACAATCATTTCAATCATTTACCTCTCATAAAAGAGATTCCCTAAAGTAATCTTCCAAACCAAGCCAAAAACTAGACTAATCTTTCCCTTCCTACTAGTATACCCCGCTAAACCCCTCATTATTCCACCATAAACATCGAAACACCACTCTAAGTATTAAATAAAGATTCAAAGCCTTCTCTAGCCATTAATGTCTCTGAAAAGTTACCCATCACCATTATCGTCCCATAACATTGCTCAAGCAAGTTTCTCATGTGGGCCCCATTGAACGGTGAGTTCCTCTATCTTGACCTGCTAGCCAACTGCTAAATATCTTGGCAGGCATATGCAAATATACACTATTAAAACATTAAAGTTAATGCTAAGTTTCCCAATGATAACACTTACTGAACATTCAAGATCTATAGATTCTCTAGTTTAAGCAGAACTATCCATTCGCAGATTAAGTCAACCAAATCAAGCTGACATTACAGAGTGAAGTTTATCGGGTGATAGACAAATGAGCACTTCTTCCTTCTATTCTTTCTGATCTTCGTGTCCCTCGAGTACTTTCTGCAGAAAGAAGCCACTGACTCCTGCATCGAATCTGGTCCACATACAAATACCCCAACCTTGTTTTCTTCTATCTCAGTAGCCTCTTCTGAAAGTATATCTGTCGTGTTCATAATATTGATCATTCCGTTTGAGATATCAGAAATTGAGATGATTTCTTTCATTGCTATTCAAATGGAGAGAAGATTCAGTTATTTACCTATTAGATTTGGCCGACCTCCATAGTTTATCTCATAATCTTGCTGAATTCCTTGTGCTATCGAAGTGCTGGCTGCCTCCACAATGCTTCTGTAATTATTTCTTGAGACAGTAATTGAGTTATCTGTTGATCTTCTGCATCTTGAAACAACTGTGGCAACGGTTATGCTTGTGGTGTAAATAACAAAAGAACATATAACAAGTAAATTATAAACCCACGACGGGGTTTTATCTGTAGTGGTTTTCTTTGTTTCATGGGTAAAAGCTCGGGTCAGACATAAAATGGAAACAAGAAAAACAATGAAAGCTAATCCGGTGATTGCAACACTCCATAGTAATCCTTCAGGTGATGGCATAACATCTCTTGAGGATATTGGTTCCAGAATAAAAGGCTTTGTCTGAGTCATTTCATGTATGAGTTCTCTAGCTGATAAGCTGGATCTCTGCTCTTGTGTTACATAGATCTTCAATTTTAAATGTATAGTATGTGCTAGCTCGAAAGGCTGGTGCAGTATTACTGTCGAAATTGGAGTCAACATGCTGATATCCAGTGATTTCCTTACTACATATATGAGATTTACTGAAACAGCACAGCGATTCAGGTTGAAATTCGTTGAAGCCGCATCTTTCAGGATACTTATGAATGGAGCTATGCCAGAACCTCCTGCAACTAAAATTAACCTATCATACCTGTTTAAAAACATAGAGAAATATTTTGGAATCATGAGTAATATAAATGACTTTTTCGGCATACATCATTCAAAATATAACTAACATTACCTTTTGTATTGGAAATCTATAGGTCCATATGGCCCTTCCACAGAAACAAAAAGATTCCTTGCATCATTTGAACCCTTGTTTGCAATAGATTCTACCATTTCATAGAGTGAATTGGTCCACTCTCCTTTGCATTTCACCAAGATTGAAAGCCTTTCATTGTCCATATTACAACTTGAAATTATACTGAAAGGATGCCACTGAAACTTCGATATGCTTGGTATCTTCAGAAACAGAATGCTAGACGGTGTATATCTCAAGCCTGCCACAGAATTGTAATAGGTATGTTATTTTAACAACTACTACAACATACATAATCAACACCAACAAGTGGCTTACTGGGGGGTGTTTTTAGAGCGAGCTCTACTGCTCTGCATGGTAGAATACATGCAGAAATAAAACTGATAACTCTTCTTGACTGTATAATTCGTAGGATCTTGTCCAGAGAGAAGAGGAGGACTCCTGAGAAAACGAGGTAAAAATGGTGGTCTCCAGCATGAAGCAAGAAGAATAAGATGAACGCCGCGTACAAATGGTGAACCGAATAGAAAAACTCAAAGTACTTCCTTCTGATTGGAGGTAATGCTGTTATCCATACGATTAGTTCTATAACTAGAGCAATTGCTCCTGCAAGATATACACGACCAACTCTTTGCCATTGAGTTATCTGTGTTTCATCAGGTTTAATGTACTCTGTTCAGATAGCAGTTATTTAAAAGTGTAAACATTTGACTAGAGGAAAATATATCTTCCTAGATAATATGTTTATTGTCTTACAAATAAATAGTGAAGTACATCCAAAATTTTGATTTGCATGTATTATTGATTTGCTTAGCTCATATTAGATAAACATGGTTACAGATACTTTTATCATCCCATGTTTCGTAAATCATCCTAGTTTTTGTTCCACTGTTCCCTTAGACACAGAAAATATCTTATGACTTGAGCCTACCAAATCTAGAGGAAGCCAAGCATGTCTGACACCTAATGTGGAAACTACATCCGACAACTTTGTCATAAAAAATGGGTTGTCATAAAAAATGGGCTATCTAAGAGAGGAGATTGCATTAGATAGGGCTATGATACATTTAGTGATCAAACTGTGTCATCAAGCTTTTTTTTTTTTAAATGATCGTCCGATGGGATGTTCTCTTGAACAATACTAGACTTCCTAGCAATCATTCTTTACTAATTTGGCTGTAGAAAAAAATGAATTAGTGATGCAACACCATAACATGTTCACAAACCAGTGATCAGATCTCAAATCTCAAATCAAAACATGTCAGAGATGGAAGAGCATCATCAACATCATCAAAACTAATCTCAAAGCTTGGAACTTCATCAAAACTGGTTCACTACACATTCCTATTTTACAAATCAAGCCTTTCCATCCTTTCTATTTGGCCTGATTCTATGAGATCAATTACAATATTCTCCGACCAAAAATTGATGAATGACCTTAGAAAAATATGTGGAAAATTTATTGTGTTTCTTTTTACGGTGGTCATTCCAATACCAGCATTATTCCCTTTTGTCTTGCTTTATCTAGCCTTTAAATAGCCACTCTGTAATCTGTTGTAGTAATTAATAAATAAATAACAAAAGTTTTCTCTTGAAGTATAAATTGAGTGAAAAGTTCGGTGGAACTTGAGTTTTGGTCTACACCATAATTATCTTAATGGCTAGTCTCTCTTCAACTATAGAAAAATAACTTATTGCTGTTGACATTAATGGAAGATTTTAGACTAAAAAATTTAACTTTATGATAGTGAAAGGAATCTTGTAATTTCTATAGAAGGCTTATTAAATAAATTTTGGCACCTAACAATTCTCCGTATTTCCCTTGACTTTTTACCCTAAACTCTCATTTCTCTCTCCTCTCACTTGTAATTTTTGGAGTCAAACCCACCTCTTTATCTCAATTCAGCTTAATGACTCCCCATTTATGCCCCTCCACTTTAAATTGGAAGCTCAAGCATCCCAACAACCAACAATGAGCCTCTCTCCCAGCTGACCTAATGTCCTCCATTTCTCATCATTAGGTATGACTTTACTTTTTATTTATTAAAATATTTAGTTTTTCCATTAGAACTATATTTTATCAAAATTTCTTATAGTTGATCATTGAATTTTGCATGAAAATTTATATTACTATAATATATTTTTATTAATGGTACTTTATATTTGAAGAAAATATATGTTCATAATAAGTTGATTGATATATTAATTAATAAGTGTTTAGTGGGTGAATTTTACATTGTATTTCCTACTTGGTATGAAAAATGCATAAGATGACGAACCTAGCCTGGATAAAGGAGATGTATTATAAAAGATTTGGAGTGGACTAAAAGTAATTTCATCATAAAGATTTGGAGCTAAGTTGATTTAGCCTTGTTGCTGGCTAGAATATACGCGGCGGTAGAGTTTGTAAATTCGCGACTGAGCGTTGTAAGAGTATTCAGCACACAAGCAGAAAAGAGAAGTGAACACCAAGGTTTTTACGTGGAAAACCCAAAAGAGGGAAAAAACCATGGGGCCTCGCCCAGTTGCAAAGTTCCACTAGTATTTGTTTGAAGTACAAAGGTTGATCTGTCTTACAAATCAGGACGATCAATTTACAATCAACTTCTCACAAAGTTACAAAGTTCTGAAATTCGTGGCGTTTCCCGAAAATCCGGCAGAGTTCCGACGTCTTCAGGCGGCGGGAAGAGCTCCGGCGGTGGTTCCATTAGAACTATATTTTAACAAATTTTCCTCTACTGAAGTCAGCACACAAAAAATATTTCAGCAAAAGCAACATTCGGCCTTCATAATTTCTTTGCTAAAATATTGCATTCCAGCAAACCCCTTACCAGATTTTTCCACACTAATTTTTCCACATAAAATTCTGTACACCCTATTTAACAAAAATGCCATTTCTATCAACATCCTACCCATTTTAAAAACCAAAATCTGAGAAGATAGCTATTAGTTCTTTCAGATTTTTGGAATTGTACACAAGTTCCCAACTATGTATATAGATATATTTTCATTACCTGTGCACAGGAGCACGTTAACCCACAGTTTACCCACACCACAGCACACTACCTGCAGCCCTTTGCTCTCCCACCGTCAGCCAGCAGCCTTATCCAGCTTCTCCCCTTCAATTCGCTGGCTGTTTTTTTGGAAATTTCAGCAGCTGTCGTGGAATGGGAGGGGAATTAGGAGTTCAGTGTCTTACACTCTTACCCTAATATAGCAGTACTAGTGGAAATTCCACTCAGCACTAGTGGGAATTCCACTAACATTGACTAAAATGATCTCAGCCGTTGATTACAGTGTCTTCTACTATCAAACCAGTGCATGCTTATATAAGTGGATGGCTACAGTGATTTGAATAAATAATGAAACAAATGACTTAGAGTTATTAGTAAATCAAGTAAGTAATGCAGAAGTTACTATTATTTAATATTAGTCTTTTTTTTTATACTTCAATAGTACAATTTAATGAAAATAACTTAACATTAAAGGACGTTGACGCTTACTTTATTTTAAACATTTTGAGGGTATCACAAATCACCCCTCCTTAATTAAATTTCGTCCTCGAAATTCCTTAGCTTAGTGATCATCAAACAGTTGAGGAAACTTGAGGCGAATATCTTCTTCTTTTTCCCAAGTTGCCTCCTTTTCTGGTTTGTATTTCCATTTCACTTTAACATAGGAAATTTGACGATTTCTGAGCTGTTTAGTATCAAAATCTAGTATTCTTTCAGGTTCTTCCATATAAGTCAAATTCTTCTGTAGCTCAATTTCATCATGTGAAATTCTCTAATGGACATCTGTAACCCATTTCCTAAGCAGTGATACATGAAAAACGTTATGTATATCGGACATGTCAGCTGAAAGAGCAAGTCTATAAGCAACTTTTCCAATTCTTTCAACAATTTCAAAAGGTCCAATAAACCTAGGACTCAATTTGCCTCCCTTACCAAATCTAGCTGTACCCTTCATAGGTTTAACCTTCAAAAATACAAAGTCACCAACTTCAAACTCTATTGCTCTGTGCTTGGGGTCATAATACTTTTGTTGGCGGTCTTGTGCAGCTTTTAATCTGTCTCTAATTAATCGGATTTTCTCTGTTGCTTCCTCCACCAGTTCTGGGCCCATTAACTGTCTTTCTCCAACCTCAACCCAAGTTAAGGGAGTTCTGCACTTTCTACCATAAAGTGCTTCATATGGTGCCATTTGTATACTGGATTGGTAACTGTTGTTGTAGGCAAATTCTATCAATGGTATGTGATCTTCCCAGCTACCTTTGAAATCCAAAACACATAATCTCAATAAATCCTCCAGTACTTGAATGGTTCTTTCG